CAAATCGGAGGATCATACGCCGGAATGATGGCATCTCGATGCTGCATTGCCTCCTCCCACGGAACTAAGCAGTTCCTACCATAAATGGACTTGCTATACTTTCTAATACTGGCGTACTTTCTCCGTGTCAGGCCCAATCGAAGCGACTTCTCTGCTGTTGGTTTGACAAGCTTCTCTTGCCTTGCCTTCTTCAAAGCTTTGCATGCCCATTCCTCTCCGCGTATCCTCAGCTTTCGGAGCATTTTTGCCATACTTGGAGACAAGCTATGCATGCTACATAGTTTTTCAGCTGCCCGCAGCAATTTCTCCAAAGGCTCTGTATCGGCTAAAGCTTTGCTTTGCTTGCTCTTCAAGCTTTCAGAGAGATCTTCGAAGCATTTATTTTTCGGACCACGTTTTCTCTTCGAAATTGGGGCGACCTATTTCAAAAGTAAGAACGTGCAGGGCATCCTTGATAATGACACACTTAACGCAACAAACATTTACCAGGTTTAACTATTCTACTAGAAAAACTCTACCTACATAGTCAACAACCATAGAATTGGCAAAACAAATTGTCAATTCAATGAAAATAATAGAATGTGTTTTAAATAATAATATATCTTACCACGAACGTTTCATCGAGCCATCTCCGGTATTTCTCATAAAATTTTCGTTTCCCATGCGACAATTTCCAGCGGTAGCGGAAGTTTCGAATCCACGTTGTAACAGCAGGCAACAGTTCTTTCCGATTGCTCACACCTTCTGCGATAAGCTCCTGAATTAAACACTCGCGATCTTGCTTTGAACGGAGATAGAGGTCCACAACTTTTTCGTTCCTCATTTTAACAAAAAAAAACACACACCCACACTTGAGCAATCAACTCAGGAAACTGTGCAGCATAAAACGCATTTCCGAGTTTTTGACACATCATTCATCTTCTTTTCTATTTACATGAGCAAGCGTCTTATTCGCCTTGACGACAGTAGCGTGCTGCCATCTGGTTTAAGTGAGATGAAAAGAGAGAAAGGATGTTTGTTTACATTCCTCCTCACACCGGATACCGGTTTTCAATTCCTTGGATTTTTGCATGAGGCAGCATGGCTTTTGAATGTCTTTATCGAAGTGGATGATTGGTATGGAGCGTTATTTAAAAAAAATCAAGTTAAACGGAAAAAGGGGCGAATCAAGCCACTGCTCGATTTTGAAAATTAAAGGGGATACCGGCATTCGATTTCTTGGACTTTTTACATAAAGGTGCATGGTTTTTGAATGTCTTAATCGAATTTGCGGATCGTTGTAGATCGATATTTTGATAAATTTCAACTTTTAAGGGGAAAACGGGTGAATTAGGCTACTTCTCCAATTTGGATATACTGATGGGACACCGATACTGGATTCCTTGGACTTTTTTTTACATAAAGTAGCATGGTTTTGAATGTATTTATTGAAGTTGTGTATTTTTATAGATCGAAATTTCAAAACGTTTCAACTTCAAGAGCAAAACGGGCGTTTTGGGCGACTTCTCAATTTTTGAAAGTAAAAAGAATACCGGTAATCAATTCCTTGGACTTTTTTTTACATAAGGTAGCATGGGTTTTGAATATCTTAATCGAATTTGCGTTTGCGTTTGTCTTGTTATAGAATGATATTTACAAAAATTCCAACTTTTAGGGGATTACGGATGAATTAGGCAACTTCTCGATTTTGCATGTTAAAGGAGATACTGGTTCTCGATTCCTTGGACTTTCTTACATAAGGTAGCATGGTTTTGAATGTCTTTATCGAAGTTGTGGATTGTTATAGATCGAAATTTAAAAATATTTCATCTTATAGGGGAAAACGGTTGATTTGGGTCACTTCTTGATCTTTGACGTTGAAGGGATTACCAGCATTCGATCCCTTGGACTTTTTTTACGTAAGGTAGCATGGGTTTTGACTGCCTTTATCGAAGTTTTGGATTGTTATTGATCGATATTTTGAAAAATTTCAATATTTAGGGGGAAACGGGTGAATTAGGCCACTTTTTGATCTTTAACATGAAAGGGGATAACGGCATTCGATTCCTTGGACTTTTTTACGTAAAGCAGCTTGGTTTTTGAATGTCTTTATCGAAGTTTTGGATTGTTATTGATCGATATTTTGAAAAATTTCAATATTTAGGGGAAAACGGGTGAATTAGGCCACTTTTCGATCTTTAACATGAAAAGGGATAATGGCATTCGATTTTTTGTACTTTTTTACGTGAAGCAGCTTGGTTTTTGAATGTCTTTATCGAAGTTTTGGATTGTAATTGATCGAAATTAAAAAAATGCAACTTATAGGGGAAAACGGGCAATTTGTGCCACTTCTCGATCTTTGACGTTGAAGGGGCTACCGGCATTCGATTCCTTGGACTTTTTTACGAAAGGTATCATGGGTTTTGACTGCCTTTATCGAAGTTTTGGATTGTTATTGATCGATATTTTGAAAAATTTCAATATTTAGGGGAAAACGGGTGAATTAGGCCACTTTTCGATCTTTAACATGAAAGGGGATAACGGCATTCGATTTCTTGGACTTTTTTACGTATAGCAGCTTGGTTTTTGAATGTCTTTATAGAAGTTTTGGATTGTTATTGATCGAAATTAAAAAAAAAATCAACTTATAGGGGAAAACGGGCAATTTGTGCCACTTCTCGATCTTTGACGTTGAAGGGGTTACCAGCATTCAATTCCTTGGACTTTTTTACGTAAGGTAGCATGGTTTTTGATCGCCTTCATCGAAGTTGCGGATTGTTATTGATCGATATTTTGAAAAATTTCAATTTTTAGGGGAATGCGGGTGAATTAGGCCACTTTTCGATCTTTGACATGAAAGGGGATAACGCTATTCGATTCCTTGGACTTTTTTACGTGAGGCAGCATGGTTTTTGAATATCTTTATTGAAGTTGCGGATTGTTATAGATCAATATTTCCAAAAATTTCAACTTATAGGGGAAAACGGGTGAATTGGGCCACTTTAAGATTTTTGACATCAAAAAGGATACTGGCATTCGATTCCTTAGACTTTTTTACGTAAGGTACAATGGTTTTTGAATGTCTTTATCGAAGTTGCAGATTGTTATAGATTGATATTTTCAAATATTTCTCATTTATAGGGGAAAAAGGGAGAAATCGGACGTTTCCTGCCATTTTTCCGGAAAAGGGTTGGCACCATGAGATTCCCCGGAATTTTTTACATAAGATTCACTATCTTCCGTAAGCTGAAAACCCGTTTCTGAATTGCGTCTGTTTTTTTGCTCGAAATAAGCCACTGTGCATCGGTGGGAAGAGTAGCGTACCTATTCGAAATAGGTACACTCAAGCTACCCTCACCGCTGTTCTTCTTCTCCGTTTTCTCTCGGAGCCTGTTCCGGGAGCGCTGTCTTCCCATCACACGAAGCGACCGACACTACTGACGACGCGATTAAACTGCGAATGTTTGGAACAAACTAGAAACTTTAGAACAACTCGACAGAGCGAGCAAAGACCGAACTGTACTGCTTGACGTTCAAGCAGAGAATGATGACTTCAACGAGCTTAGGTACTTCATATTTATACCTGCTAACCTATCAAAATTCTCTAACTAATGAGATTCTGTTTACATACGAACTATCACGCTTCACGCTCACTTGATTCTACTCATTATTTATTCAACACTAACTCTATCTACTACATTCTTCCCCTCTTCTACTCTCCTTAATTGAGGAAGGGGGGCATTATATCCACCCATTTGGGGGAATTTTATCTACCCTCTCGGGGGACTTTCATCTACCATCTCAGAGATATTTCATCCATGAGGTCATGGCAATTCCAACTATTTAAAAATTTCCTCAGTCCATCCATCAAGTCATGGCAATTCTAATAATTCTAAATTTCTTCAGTCCATCCATCAGGTAATAGAAATTCTTAGCTACCATCCGTTCCAGAATTACCAGGTCATAGTAATTCTATCTACCATCCATCAGGTCATGGTAATTCTTTCTACCATCCATCAGGTCATGGTAATTTTTTCAAAATAATTCTTCGGTTCTTTAGTCATTCCACTATCGTACACTTTTTATTTAATATTGAGTTCAGTCTCTCACTTGCACTCTTTATTTTTGTCAAAAAAGGAACGAGAGATTCGACCCAACGATATAGTTCAACCCAATAAGTTACTTTAAGTAAATTGCATATTCTCAAATTTACGTGAATTAAACTTAATTTTGGGTAGAATATACTTAAGAGTAGGTATTTTGTTTTACTGGTGTTAAATGGAAACTACTATAAGAGATTTACTCAAATTTGGGTTATTGGACTGAACCCTGGAATTGAGGGAAAAGTACTTTATTTTGGGTAGTTTTCCGTCTCCGTTAACTGTTTTTAGTTAATTACTGGCTTTGCTCATGCTTCCGAAAAATATTCCTGTATTTATTAAGCAGCCAGCGTTCGTAAGGAAACCGTTAGAGTAAACTCATTTCTATTCATACCATGCTATTAAGGATGTTTTTAGGACCACTAAAAAACGTTTAAAAAAAAATAATAAAACCCTTCCCACTAACTAAAACGTCACCCTTCCCACTAACTAAAACGTCCTTCCCGTGACAACCGTAGAGACAGTGATGGAAAAGTTCACGATAACTCACTATGACTCGTGAACTTTGCCCATGGTGAACTTCGTTAAATATCGCGAACTTTTCCAACACTGCGTAGAGATGCAGCTAGGGTAAACGCTCCTATAGTTGCGGTACGTTAGAAGCGTTAGGTTCCTATAGTTGTGTATGGAGACTCCGTACACAACTATAGGAACCTAACGCTTCTAACGTACCGCAACTATAGGAGCGTTTCCCCTACTTCCGTTCCCTTCCGAAGGCAATGAAAAGTTTTGATTTGATATTTTTTGCATTCCTGGTCGGTTTGCATTTTTGTATATTATAATCAACTAGTGTATGTCTAGTGTGTAGTGTTGACTCCTAATAAGTTGTTACTTCACATAAAAATTATTGAATTTATAACAAGTTAGCAATCAAAGTCACCATCAGCAATAGTTTCATCGATTTCAAAATGTTCGCTGCCGTCAGTAGCTTGCGCTTCGCTGTCTACTGCATCTACTTCGCTCACACTTGGCATCGTAAGATTACTACTCTTCACCGTTTGCTCCTTCGTCGCTAGCAACATCTCCAGTGGAGATACCTTCAAGTATTCAACCACTTCAGCCGGCAAGGAATTAACGAACCAATCCAATAACCCATCAAGGTTCGTACCCAATTCCTCTAGGCCTTCCTCTCCGGCTTCGGAAAGCTGCAAAGCCAGTTGAGCATACAGGTCATACAAGCGTTTATCGAAATGTTGGAGATTTGCCTGCGTCGAGAATGATCCGTTCATCGTAGTTGAATTGTGAGAAAATCGTCCCCCGATGGTTCGGTTCTTGAGTGCTTCATTGATCTGCTCCGCTCGTGATATTACACTCTCCGGAATCCGGACACATCGAGCTAGGGAAATACCGTAGTTCTTGACGCTGGTCTTCCCTTCGGCAACCGTGTATTTGTAGCGGAGACGTTCGAATCCATCCACGTCCAAGACTTCCGTTTGCAAGCAGAGACGTGAAACGTTGTGCATGTGTTCCAAAGGGCGCAACATTTCATGACAATGAGTGGTCAAGTAAATGAATGGCCTTCGCACAGCAGCTAGACTTTTGCAGGCAACTCCGTCTTGAAAGCCAACGAAGCCTACTATGCGTTCCAACAGTTTCCACCTTGGTCCACTTAGGTCCGGAGATTGCGTATCACCGAAGAGTTCATCGATCACTACCAAGCTGTTCACCGTCAATGTATGGGCGATGATTTCCAATTTCCGAAGCATTCGCGAAGAATTCGATAGATCGTGCTCAATGTTTTCTGCCGCTCCGAAGACCGCCATCAGACGATCAGCTATACGAAACTCCGCCCTTGCCGCTGGAACATAGCAACCTAACTGGGCCATGATCTGCAAGAGGCAAATCGTCTTCATGTAGACCGTTTTGCCGCTCATATTCGGACCGGTGACGATAAATACGTTGTACTCGTGAGTTGCGATCTGGAATTATTGAATAATGGTTATTCGGGAAACGCACTTGTGAGTCATAAAGTGTGTTTACAATGTTATTTTTTACGACTTTGTCAATCTCTCCGTACGCTTCGAGCAATGGATGGCGCGCCGATACTATTTTTGTAGATCTTCCAAAAGTTGGTCGGCAAAGCTCCTTATCCTGACTGACAACTGCCAGCGATTGCATTACATCCAGGTCAGTAACATTCGCAACCAGCGCGTAGATCGATTCCACGTGTTCCCGTATGTCTTCGATCAACTGCTTGATGACGCTGAAGCTAACCATCTCGATTTCCTTAACGATTCCGTTGATCCGTTCGTTGTAGGCCTGGAGTGGGCCAGTAGTCAGATAGTATCGTTGGCCTGAACGACTGAGCACGTTGAACGTCCTTGGAATGGAAGGACCGGCATCCTTGAAAGTAACCTGGATGTGAAATCCCATCGATTTCGTGAAGGTCATTTTCAGTAGCATTCTGAATTCTTTCGTCAGACCGGCGACATATTCTATAAAAAATGATTTTAGTAAAAAATATTGAGGCAACGAAACTTAAATCTACCGCGAATCTCATCGATCACTTCCGAGTACAGACTGCGAAGGATGTCCAAAGTTGAAGAAACTTTCGACTTCACCAAAAACAATCTATGATAGTCGGAAGTATGTGCTTTGGCGCTTTCCACATCCAGAACCGTACAAATCTGATCGTACAGCTGTTTGTATATATCGCTTGATATAGTTTGCTTCGTTTCCCGCAGAATGGAACATTCTGCATTTTGAAGAAGGGAACCTAGCTCTGGAACGCATCGCAAAGCGTTTTTCAGCGTGTTTGCTTGATTCAGCACATGGATTGTGTTCTGCTTCGTAGTTTTCTGGGAAATTATTTTATCGTTAGTTAATGATCGTTAAAAATTGCTCAACCGCTTACTAAGTTATCGACGTCTACGGATAGTTTCATAAGTCCACCAATATCAACCAGATCCCGCAGAATCCGTTGTATTCCGCTAAGCAGGTCATTCTTCGCGAGCATCTCGGCAACACAATTTAGTCGAGTTTCCAACACCTCTCGACTGCTACTCGGCTCCAGTAAATTTGCCCTCAGATGTCTTTTTCCCACGCTCGTAATACAGTGATTCAGCAATCGATACAGCGAATGCTTCTCATTCACCCTTTGCAACGAATAGATCAACTCCAAATGTCCAATACACTCCACATCGATCGCAAGGGTATTGTTCTTACTCAAGTAGCGAAACTGAAGCGACTTGGGTGCAATTCGCAGCAGATTGCTTTCAAAGCAATGGCGAAGCAATGCTCCGACCGCTGCCAATCCGTAGTATTTAGAACGGATCGCATCTTTCAACGTTTGATAACCCGAACAGCACAGGCTTTCCATGTACTGCAATGCAAAGCAATCGTTGAAAAAGCTTCTGGGAAGACTTACAATCTGAACTTCCGGCAGGATCTGCCGGATTACGGTCGGTAGAGTAGAGGATCGAGTGTTTAGCGAGTGGTCGTTGAAAAATACCTATCATAGAGGGAATTTCAGCCCCATGAAAACTCATTGTTCTGATTCATAACAATCCCATTAACCTACCATGACCGGATTAAGTGCCTGCAGTGACGTGAGAATATTCGAGTACCAAAAGTTGTCGCTGAATTGGGACATCTGCAACACCGGAGTCGTAATGTCGATACCGGCTAGACCGATCTCGAGCGTTGCATAGCCACGCCCCTCAGCGACGGCACAGATTGGGTACGGTTCGTTGGCGGCCACCGTTTCGTTGAGCGTGTCATGAATGCTTTCAGTTGCGTGGTTTTAGGTTAAGATTCAGATTGTTTAATTTGCATGGAACTTACCTTCTGCTAACAGTTCGACTTGTACTCGGCCGGAGATCGATATGGCGGAAAACCTGTGGCTTGGGCAGTGGTTCCACTGGTCGGTCGATACGGGATTTGATGAAATTCATCACGTGATTTATCTTTTTCTAAGGTAAGCACGTGCGCGAATAGATACATGTTCAAACTGACAATGTAGATTCGCTTGCTTTGATATCGCTCGCGCAAAACGGAATAAAACGCCATGCTTTCATTCTTTGCTTTCATGGCATGTGTATGTCGCAAATGTATATTTTTCTGTTTTCTTTTCTTCTTCATTAGAGAACAATAATACTTATCTTTACAAAACATGGTATTCAATTTTACAGTGTTGGTTTGCTCTTACCCTTTCTTGCATGTGTTTTCTGTTTTACTTTTCCCACTGCGTTCATTTGGTTTGTTTGTGTGGTTGTTGTTGTTATTGGTTGCTTTCAAAATTAAGATTATTTAAACAACATTGCCTCGATTTCATTCCACATCATTCAACCAATCAATCGTACATTGCACTTCCGGCTCTTTTTCTTATTTCTTGCTTTGTTTTACCTATCTTCTAATGCTTCCTGTTCTGCTTTATTTTAGCTCAGAATTGTTTAAGTTTTGCTTTGCATCATCAATGTTGAAATTTTACACAATTGTCCTCTGCAGTTTGCTTTCTTTCCACTTATTAGAATGAGTAAGACTTTCATATTGTTTGTTTGGTTTTTTTCATAGCACAATCAGATATAATTTACAATTGTTACCCTAATAACTTGATCGTTTTCTCCGGAATGTTTTCAAGATGGCTGCTCCTAGCAGCGCTCGCTTTGTCTTTTCTCGTTCTCCCAAGAGAAAGTTGACGTTGAAGTTATTGTGATGTACTTCATTTGGTTGTTAGCATTTTTATTTTCGAAAATTGCAAGTTGATTTACATGGAAAATGCCTTCGCAATTATTCGTCAGATGTTTCATTGTTCATAAGAAAGTGAGTGAAATGCTTTCAAGTTCTAGTAGTTCGCTGCTCTTCTGTGTGTTTGTCTGTATGTGTGTCGGGGTGAATGTATTTGTTTATTACTTTGACTTTCTAAACGCGTGTCATGGATTTGGTTTCGTTACTCCTCTCTCCGAATGAGGTTGAAAGTTTATACTAACTAAGCGGTATTTGATTAATATCTGTGTTTGTAATTTACTCGAAACTTAGCTTGAGTATATTTTACCACCTTTGGATTACGGTTGTTGTTTTTTTTTTATCTAGATAAGCCGACATTATCAATCATTGTATTTTGTATTTCTAGTGTCATTGTTTTAGCGTAAAAACTAATAAGCGTTTAGTTGTTTGATTTTCTCCCTTCTTACTCAGACAATCTGTGTCATGGTTGTTTTCACTAAAGCGAAATGCACAAGCCAAAAATTATATCATCTCAAAAGCTGTGGAGTATTTACGATAGATTAGTAATTGAAAAAAAAAATAGTGTCGAAAAAAGCAATTCCACTCCTATAATTGCATGTTAAATGTGGTTTTGTTTACAGTTGTGATTTTATTTTATTTACGGATAACTGTCCTTGTTTCGCATATTTTGTCGTATGTTCAAGCTTTTCTTGCTATTGTTTCAGTACTGTTGAAATCTGAATTCTCCCTTTGTTTGATAAGATCGTATAAAATCGTTCAGAATCGGATTTACCAAATAAATAAGTGATCGAACCTTGATCCTATGTAGTTAGCCAGTTGCTCCTCCTGTTTCGCACTGTTTATTTTGATGTTCATGTGTGTGTGTGTATCAATGTGTGTTTGTGTGTTCGTGCAGCTGTTGTTCATTTATATATTTCGATTCTGTATGTGTGTATGAATGTGCGTAGCATGCATGATTCAAAGTCAACTATGTTAATCAGCGCATGGTAGTAGCTGGTTTACTTCGATGCGTTATCATAATTGCAGTAAATATGACGTTTGTGGTAAAATTGGCTAGTTTGCTTTGTTTGGTGAACGGTTTTGTCTATTAAAAACTTTGCTACAACTTTCCTTCCAACTTCGTGCCGGTATTATCTTCTCCACTATGTTAACGAGTATTTCGGTCTGCTTTTTGTCTGTGTTTTGCCTGTTTCGGATCTACGTACTTTAAACCTTACCAACCCTGTTTGCGTTATTAATTTATGGTTTTGGTTTACCCAAGTCTTTCAAATTTTGTGTGTTTTACTAATAATTATTTTTTTGATCTTGCGCTGAAAAGTTTTAGGTTAGAGAATACGTTTCCAATAACTATGGTAGAAATTGAAAATGATTTAGTTACACCTTAACACGTTATATAAAGCCGAATTGACTTAAAGTCCTGCTTGTCGTTTGGAGCTCGCTTTCAACTTTCCGGAGATCATAGGTTCATCTTTTGTCATGATTCGGGCGATGGATGAGTTTTGAATGTCGAAAATCAATTCCTTCGGTATGTCTCAATGGAGGGGATTTTCTACTTATGTGGATCGGATTTGGAGATCAAACAGGTTTATGAAATGAAAATACATATGCTTGATAAGAGCTCTAGTGTTTCCTTCATAGGCTTATAGTTGCAGTTAGGTGTTATTCCTCATTTGGCTTAGGGTTTTACCTCCGCTCGGCAAACTCGCCTACTCGCTCGCCTGCTTTGTTGCTTAGTTTGAGACCTGATCTGTGGTTTCATCACTCGTTGTGTTAGGTTGGACAAAGCGCGTGGAATCGCTGGTAGGAGCAAAAGGATCAGTACTAGCAGTAGATACGGATAGCGTAATAGTGTCGCTAGTAGGTTCTGCATCTGCCGCCACCACCGACGGTGACGAGGGTTCTGGCTGCTGTTGTTGAAGCGGCACATTTTTGGACTGGGACTCGACCGAATCGTCACCGTCGAGGGAAATGGTGTTCGGTAAATCCTATCAGAGAAATAACTCTCATACTAGCGCACTACCGGACATTGCCGCCGTCCGTTCGGTGGTTCGCTCACGGTCGCGTTCGGTTGACTCGGAGCTGTAATAAAACGAACAATACTGTACTCTTCACTACCTTAAATGACAATATCAAATCCCGAAGCCTACCTTGATCGCACGGTTTTAATTTCGATCTCGTCGGACGATACCGAATTTTTGTTGGATGATGTGGCTGATGAACGTCGAGCCTTACCAAGGCTGGAATTGTCGTAGAACGTCTCCGGCTCTATGTCCGATTCCTGAAACGATCAGATCCATTAGTCCGATGTTCGCCCTCCAGCTCAAATAATGAAGCTCACGTGTTTGTTGTAGTTGACCCGGTCACTGGAATCCGAGCCGCACGATATGCTCTCGGCGACCGTTGTCGTGGAAACCTTGTTGTTGTGTTGATTCGTTGGACTCGCCAGCGCCGCCGGATAGCGCTTCGAACATACTTGCGCCTGAATGTGCTCGCAGATACGTCGGAAGCGACGAATGTTGCCAGAGATCAGCGTGAACGTGATGGCGAACAGCATATCGTTCACATCGCCCTGCTTGCAGATCGTATTGATATCGACCTGTATCCGCACGTGCCGCTGGAACATGGTGGGCCCAGTGCTACCGCGCTTGTACTCCACCCGGAACGACATCGGTGACAGGACGCTGTGGGACAATTCGGTCATCTAGTTGGCATAAGAAAAAAAAAAGAATGTAGCATTAGAAATCACCCATCAGCGATGCCAACAATTCAGTTTAAATAGGACACATCCTGTCAAACAGATATAGTTTGAAATATTTAAGTTTTTTTAGATATCATACAGTTTTATCAAGTTTTTCGTTCAAAAGTATTATAACCTGCACAGTATGATTAAGATGCTTCTTACACTTTAAATTTTCATATTTATTATGGGTATGGGAAAAGTTAACCTAACTGATGTTGAGTACTTGTAATACAACAGTACGTTTCAGGTCAATGGACCCATCGCAAATCTTGCCGTCAATGGTAATGATATATACCTCTGTTGTTTTCTACCAATATTATTTTAAATGTGTGGGGCCTTCTTATGCCTTCGCTATCTTCCTTTGTTAATTTATTGGAGATATTAGCTGGTTCTTATTTGAAGTTAAACATTTACTCAAGTTTTACAAGTCTAAGATCTCGCAAAAAAAAAATCAATGTCTTAAAGGTTCGAACTCCAAGTCCTAGATCTAGAAAATTTTCAAAATGCCAGAAAGAATGAAGTCTCAGTCATTTCAATGATTTCAAGAAGTGATGGCATAATCCTCACTCAAACGATATTTTGTCGCTTCCAGAGGCTCCCAATGTCACGCTTAATGATTGTAATTGTAATGATTGTACAGGTTCTTTTGATATTGCGATACTATTCACAACATGTAAAATTGTAGCTATGAGTTTACTCACACCAAAAATAATTCCGTTGCACATCGTTTTCTTAGAAAGATAAAGCATAGTTTGCTATCTCTCTCATTACTCTTCACAGATGGCACACACGAAGTCACTGTTGGCAGCAGTGATGAAAGTTTCGGTTCGTGTTCGGGTGTAAAGCAAACCCCACACCCATCAATATATTGATGCGAAGGGGAATTATTGACAATAATATTGATGATGTGAATTCAGAAATATTGTCAATCTCGATGTATTGACGTCAATATAGAATGTATTGACAATACGATTATTGTCAATAAAAGCAATCGTGTAGGGTCCACTTAAAGCAAAAATCTTGATGCCGAAACTCACCATAGTTTGGTGAATATTGTAGCTGGTTAGTTTGTTTGCATGATATAAGAGCTACCGTACCACAGCTTGTAATATCATTCGCTGTTGTTTGTTTGTTGATGTTTGTCAAATGAGATTATGTTCATTGGTGCGATTGGATCATTTTATATTTTCACAACTCTGATTTCAAGATCACAATCTTAAACTCATTCACATAACATATGTGGAACTTCATGCAAAATAGATGACTACAAGTTGACCCCTTTTTTGTGTTGCCTCAGTGGTATAACTGGCATAGTTGGACATCAATCTGTCAAAACAAAATTTTCGTGATATCGACACTCAGCGTTCATAAGGACCAATGTCGAAAACGTAAACCATAGCTTCTTTCGTAAATTTCTCGTAGCTCAAAGTCACTCAATGTAAGCCACCAAATCTATCGGATAGGAGAACTCTCGCTCTACACAATCATCGAGGTGGTTTACTTGAGTGAGTTTTCATTCTCGAGAAATTCTCCGAGAAAGTAATTGTTTACGTTTGCGACATTGGCCCTTGTGAAAGAAAAGCAGATATAAGGTTGCATGCTCAGTAAGCATTGATGTTGACGGCGACTCTGCAATCTTTACTCTTTACCCGGCGAATTGTCAATTGTCAAGATAATGCGCAATGAGTGTAAATAGGTGAGGCCCAGAGAATTTATCGTCTCTTTCGTTCATCCGCTTGTTATAATGGTTGACAGAGTTTGCTGTTTACAGCTCATTTGAAAATGCTTTTTTCGACTAGCGACAGGGTGCTCTTCAAAGGATATTTTCGCTAGTATTTTCTAGTCGATCAGAAGTCAATCAAGAGCGTTGTTAAACAGTAATTTACCTTTTTTCAGATGCAATATTTCTACGTCTCTTCAACCTGGTTGAATTGCATTTGATTGATGACGAATATTATGTTAATTGAATGCAATGTAAAGGGTGATACGGTCAAAATTTGGTCAATATCTACTTGACGTATTTCTTTCAATTTTGCATTTAAAAAACCTGAACACCCCTCATTTTGAAGGTGTGTGTGTGTAGAATGTTGCTCCTATTTTGATTTTGGAATTCACTCTTCAGTTGTCAAAATGCCGTCCAAGCAAGAAGAGCAGCGTATCAAAATTTTGCTCGCGCATCGCGAAAATCCGAGCTACTCGCACGCAAAGTTGGCAAAATCGCTAAAAGTTGCCAAATCAACCGTTACAAATGTAATTAAAGTGTTTGGGGAACGTTTGTCGACAGCCAGGAAGTCTGGATCGGGGGGAAATCGAAAACCGGAAGCCGCTGAGACGACAAAGAGAGTTGCCGGTAGTTTCAAGCGAAACCCTAACCTCTCTCTCCGAGATGCCGCAAATAAGCTGGGTGTATCGTCTACAACCGTGCATCGAGCCAAAAAACGAGCCGGACTATCGACTTACAAGAAGGTAGTGACTCCAAATCGCGATGATAAACAAAATACGACGGCCAAAGCGCGATCCCGGAGGCTGTACACGACGATGCTGACGAAGTTTGACTGCGTGGTGGACGACGAAACCTACGTCAAAGCCGACTACAAGCAGCTTCCGGGACAGGAGTTTTATACGGCAAAAGGAAGGGGAAAGGTAGCAGATGTTTTCAAGCACATGAAACTGTCAAAGTTCGCAAAGAAATATCTGGTTTGGCAAGCTATCTGTACCTGTGGCTTGAAAAGCAGCATTTTCATAGCTTCCGGGACTGTCAACCAAGAAATTTACGTGAAAGAGTGTTTGAATAAACGTCTGCTGCCTTTCCTGAAGAAACACGGTTGTTCCGTACTGTTTTGGCCGGATTTGGCATCTTGCCATTACGGTAAAAAGGCCATGGAGTGGTACGCCGCCAACAACGTGCAGGTGGTTTCCAAGGACAAGAACCCTCCCAACACGCCAGAGCTCCGCCCAATTGAGAAATACTGGGCTATTGTCAAGCGGAACCTAAAGAAGACCAAAAAAACTGCTAAGGGCGAGCAGCAGTTCAAGGCAAACTGGCTTTCTGCGGCGAAGAAGGTGGACAAGGTGGCTGTACAAAATCTGATGGCAGGGGTCAAGCGTAAGGCCCGGCAATTCGGATTTGGAAAAGCGGAAGCCTAACTGAATATTTTTCCTGAATTTTATACTAATTGAACTTGAAAAAGAAATTTAATTTGATTTTTTAAATAAACGATTTCACCGATTTACGCGCGTTTTCCCTTGACCAAATTTTGACCGTATCACCCTTTAATGCTAACAATTCGAAGGTTTTGCTGCTGCTCTCTGGACTTAAAGATGTATGCACTTAACTCCAAATTTGAACAGTCGTATTTTTTTCTCAAATGAAACCTTATGAAATCAATGATTGATGCAATTGGTTACAAAAGAAATGTCAAAAGAAAAGATTGTACGTACATTTTGACGTAGGACTAAGTCTGTGATTTCTATATGGGGGCTACACTTTGTGAAAGCCGAAAATGGAACAAGTAACAAATTTATGAAAGATTTTGAACGTTAATAACTCAGCTTCCCCTGGACCAATTTCTAGAATGTTATCACTAATCGATCAGAAATATTCCTACGCATCTGTGAAATTTAAGACCTTAATATTTTTCAAAATACTATTTAAAATTGCACGAATTTGCAACTGTTGCTATAATAATTAAAATTATCACCGATTGCCAGCGAAAAGCGATTTCCCTAACACAGATTTCAAAGTTGAAATCCATCTGGTTTCACCAAACGGTGTTTATTCAATCACCGCCTGGTGAGTGGTGGTGTTCTCCAGTACACAACGAAAGGCTGCCTGCAAGTAGCAAGCACAGGTCTGATATACACTCTAACCACTACACAGCCCACATGAGCATCCATAGAGGGAGGAAGAAGCTGCACCTCTATTGATCGGAATCAGTAGCTCTTCGTGAGTCGCTGTGGGCCATCTATGTCAAGCGCGTCATACTAAAGACTATTAATAGAGAGAACCCCGCTCAAATTCCCACTCCTACACAAAACACAAGCTCCTGCTGCAGTTAAAAAATAACATTTATTATATAAGACCACGTAGTCCTACATCACCATTGCGTACAACCCCATGGGGCTGTCCCTTGTAGTTTTTATTCAAAATTTTCCTCAGAGATAAAAATTGAAAAAAAATGAATCCGCGCAAATTTAGAGTTAGAAGAAAGGAACGCGTGGGGTTTCCAAACTTTTTTGGAAATTTCAGAAAAAAAACAATACGTTTTGATATCAAAATTGGGCTGTAAATAGTTGGGTGACTGGTCATCGCATAAAAAATCGGCAAATAATGTCTACTTTTTTAATGCAAACGTTAATATTTTGCTGTGTGAAGCTAGCTATATTATTATAAATACAGAAAGTATATTGTTAAGGAAATATGAAGAGATGAGTTCAGGAGTACTAAGAAGATACATAATTATAAACCACGATAGAATTATTTTAATAAAATTGAATACCCCCTTACTCATTTTACAGCTGGTATAATCAATTTGACAGATTGATGCCCTTCTATACCACTTGAAATCACTGAAATGGGGTCGATTTTAGATGATCGAGTTCCACATATGTTATGTGACTCATTTCAAAGTTCAGCAATTAAAAAAAATGCTGGTGTTGGAACTTGAAAACTTCTCATGCTCCCAAATCTTGGAAATTTCTCCTTGTCCGGAATACTAAATTTTAAATAAAACTCCCTGAATCTTGAAGATCTTTGTAAATCCAGGTTCATACAATTTTTAAATATGAAAAAAAAATCCAAGCCTCAGATTTTTTTTCAAATCTCGATTCGAGATTTTAAGTTTTGTGTCCAGGGTCTCGTTTATCTGTTTTATGGAAAAATTAAAATCCCTTATAATTTGCTCCATAATAGTCCTGAAAATCTTTGACAGAACACTCTCAGGAGTCTCTCTTTATAATAGTAATAATTCTTTCAGTAATAACCTAGGAATTCCCTGAAAAATACTCCGGAAATCACTTGGAGTTCTCCGCAGCTGATATTTCCATGGAATTGTCATAGGAATTCCTTTTAAGTTCTGCTTAGAATTTCCATTAATTCTATGAAATGCTCCTATGAATTTTTCACAAATTATATCCGTAATATCTTTGAAAAACTCTTTGGAATTCTTTTGATATTTTCACCACAATTTCGTTGGTACTATCCTCGGAATTCATCTCCCGTGGAATACTCCCTTGCTTTGCCATGAAGTTCTAAAACAGTGTAAAACATTGTAATTATTTTCAGAATTTTCGTTGGATTACCCCCAGAATTCCATTTGAATTTCTTCTAAGAATTCATTTCAAGTTCTCCTCACATTTTTTTTTAGATTTCTTCTCTAAATTAAAGTTAGAACTTTTTTGGAATTCCTTTGAAGTTCTCCTGGAATTATTCTCAGGTTTTACTATAATATTCATTTTAGCATACTCCTAAGTATTCTGCTTGGGCCAAGACAACTTTTGATCATGAGTATCATCGGAGTTAATTTTGAGTAACTCTGAGTAGCTCGCGTTGCATATACACATACAGCTATTCCATAGCAAAAAGATATAGTGGTTCTCAGAATTTCGTAACAATTGGTAGTTTTGTTCCTTATTGCAAAATATTAGACCCGTATTTTTTCTCTCTTAGGGTCACCATTTCCATGTTCATGATGGTCCAAAAATCAATTCTTTTCTATTTTTTTTCCAAAAATGACATTTTTTTAAATTATAACTTATAATATCAAAGGAAAGGTTATTAAAAATACTTTTCAGTGTTTTTTATAGCAGAATTTTGATTGTGTTTGTTTTTATGGTTTTCATGGTTTGTAGACAATGGGTGTAACACGTTTTTATATTTTTCTTTGATAATTTAGGCTTTTCTACACAACGTATCAAACATCAGCGATGTGTTTTTCTTCGTTTTTGAGTTACGATTTTTTGAAATTATGATGTTTAGAAATTTCGCTCATTACTCCAATACGACTAGATTACCCTGCGTCTCCATTGATACATATCTAATGTAACATGGTTACATAACCAGGGTGTCGACTACCTGGAAAAACCTGGAAAGTCAGGGAATGTCAGGGAATTTTAGTGTAGGTCAGGGAAAAAATAATGTTGATCACATTGCAAAAAATCATGTGTGGGACACAGAAAAACAATCTTTGAAATTTTATCAGTGCATGACGTCAAAGTTTTTGGGAAGATCCCGGGCATCAGATCTACTCGCTGCGTTTATGGACGCCCTTGTCGGTATCTCTTCGAACAAGTTGCTGCAAGTATCGGAGTGTTGGGAGTATCAGTTGGGATGTTGTCAAATATTTGCGTGGTATCTACAATATCTTCAAAGATGTACCAACAAGACGAGCGTTTTTCACGATGTATTCTGGATCTACCATATTCCCGCTAATTTTGCGGTCTCCGATGGTTGGAAAATAGAGGCCAATCATACGAAAAATTATTCAAGGCGTCCAGAAAGATGTTAAAAACGGTTTGAATGACTCGCTGCTGATGGCTAATAGTACGTTCAGACTGCAGATTTATAACATGTTATAGCACTATCTTGTCGCCTTAACCTCAATCTACCTGTGCACCAACTCTCAAAACATAAACAATTATCAAAATATTGCTTGCAATGGCTAGTTATCGAGTTAACTAGAAGATTAAGTGTGTTTTTCAACCGATTCGAGTATGAATATGACAAAGTTGATGCACAGGTAAAAAGTGAGGTTACGCGATGCCACGGTGGTTTCTGTGTTGTAATTATTTGACAACCGTTATAACATGTTATAACTCTGTAGTCTTAAGGTGGTATTAAGCTAGCTTTCTTCAAATCAGTTGCTGTCGAAGTTGAGCCATTTCTATGCGAATTTCAGACGGACAACCCTATGGTGCTTTTTTTGTGCAACGCGATGTCTCAAATGGTTAGAGGCATTATGAAAAGGTTCATTAATATTGATCATCTGAACAATATGGCACATTTGATCAGTATGATCGCAAAAAGGAACGACTGGACGTTTTCTGGCACATGTTATTGGTCGGCGTATTCAGAACTATTGTTGGTTGTGAAAATGATTTGCTGCTTATCGCATGGCAACGCCAATGCAGAGAGAGGTTTTTCGGTAAATGCAGAATATCTTTATGAAAACATAAGGGAAGAGTCAAGGCCCAAGCGCAATGACAGCGGAACGGCAGTGGTAGCGGAAAAGCCCGATCTGAGTAAGCCTATTTGTCGGATTGAAAACTAGTTAGAATCAAATCGACTGCGATTAGGCATCTTGATGTCATTTTTGACAATTGTCAAACTTGCCGTTTCCGTTCCGCTTCCGCCCACATTGCGTTTGGGCCTTCAGTCGTAGCGCGACGTCAGATCTATGATGGTGTTACTCATGCACGCGGGTTGGAAAACTTACAAATTTTGAATGAACTTATTCAGCGAGTTCGAAAAATCGCTTTCGCTTTCCATGTAGACAAGGATCGTCGTATGAAAGAAGCTCTCGATTCCGAGAGCTCAAGATGCTCAAAAAGAAGCCGAGAGTTTGCAGGAGAAAATTGTTATGCTCAAATGATAAACATTTTTAAAAGTAATTCGAAAATAAACACATATTCAACTTGCAATATCTCGTTGTAACGTGAACTCACTGAGAGAATAAAATGTTAATGATAATTAAACTTAAATTATTTTGCCATGTCTGCGGTTATCATATGGATTTCCAGAGAGTACGAAACAGACTAATGCATGAGCAGTGCATCCTCAGGTTCGGTTGCAAAAGCAAGAATAATCACTGCTCTGTTATTTTACAGTAATTTATATGTTAAGATAAAGGATCGTCTACGGCTGTGAAATTATGAACACAAATTGAGAGCTTGGTGACATTGATTAAATATTCCTATTGCTACTTAATAATGAAAAGTGATCCTAGTTGTGAACAGTAGTTATTCATTATTATATTATAATATGTATTTATAGCCCTCGGCCTATTCACATCCTTCGTAGGTAGTCGGTCATATCTTCTGTAAAAATTGTATTAGTATCAAGTTCTGTTGTACGTGCCATGAGTATGCTATTCTTGATATTTTCGAAAGCTTACCCTGCTGCTCACTTTAAATTAACCTTAATTAACACTACGGCATAATAGAGCACATCATGTTGTAGTTTCGTAGGTTAAAATAACGAAGTTTTGTCGACTGGAATTTTTCTGAAAACCGACTGGAAAGTCAGGGTAAAGTAAAAAACACGGGTCTAATATTTTTCAATAAGGAAAAAACTACCAATTGTTACGAAATTCTGAGAACCACTATATCGTTTTGCTATAGAATGGCTGCATTTACATATGGCAACCTGATTGTTATGCTGAAACCGATACTGTCAAGCAAAGCAAATTTACGTATTTCAACAACATGTTGAACGGTGCGCTTGCAATGCTTATCCGAGAAGATATTTCGGCAATGGAAGGGCAATTTCTATTTCGTATAGCACGCGTACGAAAGCAACTACAAGCTACCCCCTCAAAATCTTGATCGAGATGTTTTGCTTTACTGCCATGCCGTTCGAGTTCTTGCAAACATTAGTCCGGATTCGGATGGACATTCCCAATTAGGATTCATGACAGTCCCAGGGGGATTCTGGACAAACCCAGGAAGGATTCCAGACGATCCCTGCGAGGATTCCAGTCAATCGCAAAAAGGATGTATAACTGTCTCAGGAGGTATTCCGAACAAGCCTAGCTTCCCAGCAACATCAAAGGGATTATGGACTATCCCAGGAGAGATTGCGGACAATTCCAGGGAGGATTTCATGACAGTTCAGGGGGATTACAAACCGGACAATCCCAGAACGGATGCCGGACAATCCCAGGGGGACACTTCACAATCACAGGGGATTCTGGAATATCCCAGTATGAAAAGAAAAAATGTGGTGGTTCCTGATTCCTTCGGCGATCGCTCATTGATAAATAAGCGGCCATTTCCGCCTTAGGTCCCTGGCAGAGTGAAAGCTGGTCGAACAAAAGATTTGATTAATAATTGTTATTCCTTTTCCTGGTCAGCTCGGTTACCAGCTTTCACTCTGCCAGAGGCTGATATACCCGTGGCTCAGCTGTATGTATTCAAAATGGCGAAATAAATTGCCAATGGTTACTTTGGGTATTAGTAAGTGATCAAACTTCTCAAATGCCAATGTCGATTTTTATAGATCAGACAGATTCGTAATAGAAAAATGTAGTATTAGTAACGCTATAACTAGGTTAGTATCGATTTAAAGACTATCGCCTTCTTGAAGTACAACTGATATTTTTCCTGCCACCCACAGTAGTCCATGATCGTTCGACTTACCGACAAAAAGGCATGGATAAGATGAGCTTTGACCGTCGCCAGAGGCTTGCCCTTGACGAGCACTGTAAAAGTTTCGTCCTTTTCCGTAGTCATTAGGTTGCCAAACCAGGACTTTTTCGTCAGCTCAGGTGATGACTCTGGAGTAAGATGCACTTCTTCGGTGGAAACTGTAAAATACAAAACAAATCATCACAAACAAACATTTTTTTTTCACGTAGAAGTATGATTCCTACTTTGAAGTTTCCTTCGATGGAACTTGGGGCTACCGAGAAAACTGTTCTTGATGTTTGTCAGCCTTGTCTTCCACAGCTGACTGCCAGTGTTCACGGCCGACAACTGCTGTGGGCTGCCTAGGATCGGTGATCCAGGGATTGCGTTTATTGAGGATGTCACTGAAACGAAATATGCTACCTCAAACGAATGCTCGAATGATCTATTTAGAATCCTAGCTTACTATTATTAGAATCGGTTTCTGAAAAAAGGCCTACGGTTATCGCCGGCCCTGAGTTGGCTCGATGGTGGACTGGTGACGATGGATCGATCATCTGCGATTTTCGATCTCGACTGGCGTAGTTGGCATGTCGATTCACTACCGAATTTGGAGATGATGGAGGATGCAGTTGAGCTATAACGATATCAATTAGGAGAGTTTGGAACTTTGTTCGTCAACCAAAAAATTTATATCTTACAGAGTGGTTGACTGGAATTGACGACAACCCCTCGGGTAGGGCTTTGATATGAGCTTCGCGACATAGGAACGGATGATGGAGATCGTCTACTGCTACTGTGGCTACGGCCATTGTTGAACGTCTGCCGCCGGGAGGTCAGTGGAGATCCTTCGCTAATCTGACCATAGGAGAGACTACTGCTACCGTTGATCCTGCAGGTGTCCAGCCGTTTCCGTGGCGGATCGGCAATTTCGATAATGTCGTTCCGAGGTCTGAGTACGTCTTCGTCATCTTCCACAGCCGGTCGTCGTCGTTTTCTCTCTAGTAGTAGGAAGTAGATCACCTTCTCCGTGTTATGACTGAAACGAAAAAAAAAAAAAACAATCATACTTCATTCTTTGAATCACAACTCAAGGCTTGCGGAAGGCGTACTTTGGACTAAGTAGCTCCTGGATTAGTTTGTCCTTTTCCTTGAAACATCCTAGGGAGCATATTGCATTGAGAACGTCCGTATCCACGGCGGAGGCGGTTGGGATTACGTGCGTTTGGACGACTTCCATCATGGGCAGCTCGAGTTCCAGTTCCCCCTTACCGCCAGCGGTTACCCAGGGGTGTTTGTTGATTTCGGACAACTGTAAATGTGGAAGGTTGTGCGATGAGTGTCTTATGAAGTTTTCAAACCAGGGCTGTGGAGTCGGATGAAAATCATCGAAGATTGACAACGATTAAAAAAGAATTGAAAATCCGGAAATATATTCTAAGTCTGGGGCCTCAGATTTCCAGTTCGGTCGAGGAAATGTTTATTGTATTGTTTATTGTTTATTATATTGACTTCATCAGAGTATCATTCTACTTGCCACACAATTTACAAATGCATGCATTAGTTGGCAAAAAATAACTCTCAATTAGTAACTGTGGAAGAGCCTCTAGAAGACTAAGTTGATGGCCGGCCAAACGCTTGCAAAAAGCCGTAAAAAGCCTAGTCTTCCAGGGCCTAGCAGAAGAAGACCAAGTCTGATATATTAAGAATTTCTCTTAAAATCCTGAATATTTGTTCAAGCCCAAATTTTTTTTACTTTCCATAGCATACCGGATACCATAGGATACCGAGAATTAAGTCCGAGATCTAAGAAAATTAGCAACGTTCCAGAGTTTAGAATTTAAATCGTTGAATTATTTTCTTGTCACAAATTTTTTTTTGCATTCTTAATAGTTCTCGCGAGAATTTATCTCCATTATTTTTGTTTTGATTTTGTTTGGAATATTGTTCGGAAATCTCTTGGCATGAAATGTATTCTCCCAAAAAATATTTTGATTTAATCTCAGAATTTTTCTCAGATGCCCCTAAGAGGATCTATTTTAACTATCTTGGAATTCTCTTGAAACTCACCTTAGTATTCCAATGGAAATTTCTTCAGATTCTCTTGGGGCACTACTCATAGTTTCTTTGGAAAGATGCTCAAATTTTTTTGCCAAACCCTCCTGGAAACTCGTTAAAATTCCCTCAAAAATTTTATAAATTTCCTTCTTAAGGAATTCTCTTGCTTCATTATAGAGTTTTTCAGCCCTGAGCTGGTTCGTTTCTGTATATTCAAACTAGTATGAACGTCATCAAACACCATTTTGAGCTATTTTAAGAATAAGATTTCCATGGAGCTTTTAATCACATTTCCTTGAAGCTCTCCTCAAAATGTCCCTTTTATTGATTGATTGGTAGGTTATCATTAGGCATTGTAAATTTTACAAAATATTGATACATTCAAAGGGTTTTTATGTTACTTCATACGCGAAGTTTGCGATTTTCAGATTTGGTTGGAAATGCTATCTAACATGAAGCTTTAGTGTGATAATTTATTAACTAGAAAATGGTCTTTGGGAAAGGGTAGGTAGATAGTTCCGTTCGAGTACGGCAGTATGAAAATTGAATAGAAGTTGAAAATGAGCGGAGGGCCATTAATGCGACAGTACAAAGTCAAACGCACACCTTTTGCCTAACCCGTACGATGTACGCGGAGATTTGAAGTATGTATGTCTTCAAATCTACAGGCAAAAAGTGTGCGCCTGCCTTTGCTCATTGCTGTCTGCGGCTGTGGAATAGTTCTGCCTGTAGATTTGAAGACATGCTTCAAATCTCCGCGTACATCGTACCGGTTAGGCAAAAGGTGTGCGTTTAACTTTGTACTGTCGCATTAATGGCCCTCCGCTCATTTTCAACTTCTATTCAATTTTCATACTGCCGTACTCGAACATAACTATATACCTACCCTTTCCTAAAGACCATTCTCTAGCTAATAAATTATCACACTAAAGCTTCATGTTAGATGGCATTTCCAACCAAATCTAAAAGTTTATGTTTTACTATTTTGGTAAATTGTAAAGTGTCCATTGAGTCCAATATCTGATAAGTTATGATTTTTAAAAGCTTTCAAATAAGTTTACAACTCTTTAAAACGTACTGTTTTTGCTATTGAAGTTTTTAACAAATTGTTACATTTTTTTCAGCGTGTATTTTTTTATGAACGCGCAGTAATTTCCTAAGACTTTGTCTCAGACATCATTTCGGTTTTCGTTTTCGTGCTATGATTTATTGAAAACTATATACTACATTTGTAAATATAAATATAAAATTGTAAATACTATATACGACATTTGTAAATAGCCGAATTCCAGCACAAACTTGGTTCATTGCCCCTAGTGAGCAATGATGCGATGTTTCGTGGAATTCGGAGAGTTGGCATGGATTTGCCCAACTGTGGCTCGTCTGAAAGAAAACACTTGAAACAAAAATCCGTTGCTGTCAACATACCGTCAATCGTTTCTCCGGGTTCACCTCAATCATGCCCTTGAGAAGGCTCTGGCAGTCGGGTGGCACAAAGTGTGGAATATGAAACACCCCTCGTTTCACTTTCTCGAGCAGCTGTCGCAGGTTGTCGTCGTCGAAGGGCAGCGCACCGACCAGCAGAGCGTACAGGATCACACCGCAGGACCAAACATCCGCCCGACGGCCGTCATACTTCTCACCCTGTTGTAACCATCCGGTACAGAAACGAATGCCCAAGATTAGATCCTTTGTTGGGGCTCAGAACGATGGAAAACACTCACCCTAATCACTTCCGGGCAGGCATAATGCGGAGAACCACACGATGTTTCCAGCATCGATCCCGCGGGTTGCAGTGAGGCCATTCCAAAGTCAGCTATTTTGATGTTGTTCTTGTCGTCCAGCAGCAGATTTTCCGGCTTCAGATCTCGATGGCTGCAAGAAAGGAGAAAATGTTGCAAAGTTAGAATCGCTAACGAGGAAATGGGATATCCGAATTAAGACATCTGGATTTAGAAATTGAATTTTAAACGATTTAGATTTGCGTTTCGATTGATCTGGGTGATGCAAGTGGGCGAGGGAAGTGGTACCACATCGTTTCCGGTTTGCTTCTCATCCGGTGAAAGCCGACGACTGGCGTCGTCAGTACCTAAATGTCCGGTTTAGTGATGTTTGTGTTTTTTGGACCTCGTTCAATATTTGGAACGATAAACCGTAATTGGATTTAATCGCCCCGGATTATGGCACTTTTGGGTAGTGCGACGATACTGAATGGCGATAGAGTGAGGTTGCTGTTATACATTTTCAACCACATCTTCCAGACGAGAAAGAGTGCTGGACAATAGACTAATTTGGTATGTGTGTGTGTGTTGTCTGGTTTGCGGTGTCTTTTTATGCGGATTTTAGGAATTATGATTTTGGGAAAGCTGTTCTGTTCCGAATGTCGTCTACTGAATGAATGGAGCTCTTTTGTTCGCTTTGTTCTTGGTCTCCACTACCAATCCATTTGATGAAGCGTGGGTTAATTGAATAGCATGTCTATTGGCAGTCTATGGAAATTATCATTTTTTTTTTCTAGCTCAGCATTTCGAATGAATGTTGTTCCAACACTATAACTGCAAGCATTTACTTGTACTCACTGATTACTGGTTTCCTGAAGGGATTGAGCCACTCATCATTTATCGATTAACTTACGAAAATGTCGTTTTAAATTCATGTCATTTGAATAGATCAGTTGATTGCCAGACTTTACCAAGCTACAGCAAATATTTCCAGAATGCTTGGACTTGAGATCTCTCAGTTGGTAAAGCCCATGCTGGAGTCAGCTGGGATCGATTGCTAGTTCGGTTTAAGAATTTTTGGGGTTAAAACATTTCTCGACTTCCCTGGGCATAGGGTATGATTGTACTTGCCTCAAAATCACACTAATGCAAACATGGTACAGGCATAGAAAACTCTCAATTATCAACTGTGGAAGCGCTCAAAAAACACTAAGTTGTAAGCCAGCGTAAGGTCCCAGTATGGACAAGAGGTGGGCAATCCCTCATGAACTGAGCTGAAGAACTAGTTCATCAGTATGAACGAGTGAACGATCGCTCTGAACGGGTTCTAACCCGCTCATCTCACCAAAACACCTGACAGCTGAGCTAGTAGTGCTAAGCGGACGGGAGATGAACGATGTGTTTTCTATGTGACAGCTGAGCTAGAACTAGTTCACTGGGCGAGAAAGTCAACGAGAGCGCCTCTTAGATAAAGAATGAAAAATCATTCGACCAGGTCATTAGTTGTTTGCTTTAGCTCCCCTTTCTTCCAGTGGCGCATGGTAAAGCTGGGTTTAGACAGGGCAAGTCAATTGATCAAGTCAGTTGAATTCAACTGACTTGAACGCGAATTGAACGTGTATCATTTTCATTTTTTATTTTGCAGCGTTTGATATGGCAATGCGAGCGCAAGACAATACAAAGCCAAGGTTTAGGGAAGTTTTTTTTTTTTTTTTTAATCTTTATTATAGAGATTTTTAGCCATAGGCTAGTTCATCTCTTAGGTTTAGGGAAGGGTAATAGCTGAATAGTCTATGCGGACCTCTCTAACGCCATTGGGAAATGATTAGGATTGACACAGAACTCCACCCAGTAGCCGAGACTCACTGGGACGGAGGCAAAATTTGGCAATCTGAGGCACCCAAGATAGATAACCGGATATATGAGATATTCAAATCCGGGGACATCACTGTAGCGGTACGGAGATCGGTAATGATGTAAATTTAGGTGCTCTGAGACTGACAAAATTGAGTCATAACAGACGTGAAATTCAATTCAATCAAACGTAGTTTTCGTCGAGTATCGAACTTTTCAGTCTCGGAGCACTTAATTTTACATGACATGTGTGTTTACGTCTCATACTTTATGCCAAAGATGGATTCCGTCACGTGTAAAATTAGTTTTTTCTAAGTGTGTAGTGTTGGAGTTGGGCCCTCTCATCGGAAGTCCCGGTTCACCCCTGGATCCAGGGGATTGTTTAACAGGCACCTCGAAACCTACGCATGGATTCCCGGTTACTGTAGGATCCCAGGGAGTAACGAAGCGGACCAACATGACTATTGTTATACTAACATGCACTGCCCATAATCGCAAGTCAGTCCCAGCTGTAAAAAACTGGAAATGAGAAAACGGCGTTCAAAGATTTTTCAAGTTTTCTGATTTGACACTTATTTTGGAGGGATAAATTTAAAAATTAACATACAATGTGATAGAATGCATCTATGATTACGCAAAAATATTGAAAAAATATCGTAAAATTTTTATTTTATGGCCATAATCTGAATGGGACTGACATGCGATTACATTAAAGGGTGTCCACGATGAAATTGCCACACTATGAAATTGCTCTAACTTTTTAACCGTTGGGTAGAATTTAATGAAAATTTGGGTGGATTTAGTTCATAGTGCATTATTTACATCCTGCAAGTTTTAAAGTCCTGTGATCAAAACTCGTGGAAATGGAGTCGAAAGAACAGCTCGTGCGTGATAAAATCTTGCGCATTCATCACGAGAACAAGGATCTCTCGCATCGTTCCATCGCTAAAACGTTGGGAATCGCGAATTCCACGGTGTCGCGAGTGATTAAGCGGTTCGAGGAACGGTTGACCACCGATCGGAAGCCCAGAAGTGAAGGAAAAAGTATTCCGTACAACACCAAAAATCACAACCGCGTAGTTGGGGCCTTCAACCGAAATCCGAACGCCTCCGTTAGGGATGTGGCTAAGAAGCTGCACCTAAGCCGAAGTTTTGTCCAAAAGGCCAAAACTAAGGCTGGGCTTCGAACGTTCAAGGTACAAAAGGCCCCTAATCGCGACGAGAAGTAGAACAAGTCCGCCAAAACCCGTGCCAGGAAGTTGTACCTCAACATGCTGACGAAAATTGAATGCTGCATCATGGACGACGAAACATATGTGAAGGCCGACTTCAAACAGATCCCCGGCAACCTGTTTTTCACGGCCAAGGATAAGTTCAGCGTTCCGGAGCATGTCCGCACTCAGAAGATGTCCAAATTTGCGAAGAAATTCCTGGTTTGGCAAGCCATCTGCACGTGCGGGAAGCGGAGTGCACCTTTCGTGACCCAGGACACGATGAACGGACAGGTGTACATAAAAGAGTGCCTCCAGAAGGGGCTGCTTCCTCTCCTGAAGGCCCACAACGTCCCAACAATCTTCTGGCCGGATTTGGCCTCATGCCACTACTCCAAGGACGTGCTGAAGTGGTATGCGGACAATAAGGTCAATTTCGTGCCGAAAATGTTCAACCCTTCCAACACTCCGGAGCTCCGCCCCATCGAGAAGTACTGGGCGATTATGAAGCAGCACCTTCTTAAACGACCTAAGGTAGTGAAGACAGTCGAGGAACTGAAGAAAGTATGGGTTTACATGCAAAAAACGGTTGATTCACAGGTTGTGCAGAATCTTATGGCCGGGGTTAAGGCCAAGGTGCGGGCATTTGCGTATGGACTGTAAATAAAATACGAGTAAAATGGTAAAATGAAGTTTAATAGTTATTTCTCAATCCATGAAAATTTGATGGCAATCGGATGAAAACTCGAATTTTGCGAATCAATTTTGTGTGTGGCAATTTCATCGTGGACACCCTTTAAACGTCAATAAGAAAAATAACCGCAAGTCAGTCACAATTCCTTGACGATGCTGCATTAGTTTAGCACAGTATTGAACAGTAGAAAAATACCATGGTCCCATAGAACGTAATTGAATGTTTCTGGATTTATACCGCTGGTTCCAGAGCAATGGCCGGAACATATTCCGGTGAGTATGGGTCTTCATCAGACCAGAGATTTTCATAAACGTGCCAAATCCACCATGCGATAAATCAATTCACATGAGCATTCAAAAATAAAATCAATAAGAGTCATGATGAGTGACCAGCACCAAGTTGACCACACCCGGACATGTTCCGGGTATCCCCGAGGAAGTGGTAAATCTATTTTAAATCAAAATCCATCAAGCGATACATCCAATCACATGAGAATGCAAAGCCAAATCCATTGGCGGTCAAACTGAGTTTCGTAAGAACTACATTGGCCACATCCGGACATGTTCCAGATACCCTAGGGGAAGTGGACAAAATCTGTCTTGACACAAATCTCATGATGCGATGTGTTGTCTAGCATTTCTAACATAATTTTTTCTAATGGGACTGACTTGCGGTTACTTTTCGCTGTGGGACAATTTGACTTGGTATTGTTTTTCATTTTTCTAGAACAAACCACATTTTTTTCAATAGCACATCTCAAAAAACATAGCAAGATAAACTGAATAATGATGCTAACTCAAAATTGATAAAAATGCAGATGGGACTGACTTGCGATTACCGGCAGTGCAGGTATAAAATTTTTTTTTGGTAGTTTTGTTCCTTATCGCAAAACATTAGACCCGTCACCATTTCCTTGTTAGGGTGGTTCAAAAAATATTTTGTTTAAAAAATTCATAACTTTTATTACATTTATGAAATTTTAAATATCAAACCACAGACAAACAGACGTAACACTTCATTCTGGATCATCGTTTGCGCATTTAACGATTGGCTTGAATGTTATCGTTTCCACGAACTACTCGCCGCAGCGCGTATCACTTTTATCATATTCGGTTTTTCTTGTATGCAACATTGTTTGCGAATCAGTGAGCAAGCTTGTTTTCCGCGAGAAGCCCGCCAGATGTCGTTACTGTAGTCCTATGTTTGGTGGTACTATGTTTTGAAGTTAATTTTATTAAAAGAGTTACGTCTGTTTGTCTGAGATCAAACATTATTGCACTACAGGCCGTCAGGAGATGGATAACGAACACCATACGGAAAGCATTGGAAATGGAATGGTCCTGTACCAATCGTCCTTCATCGGCAAGCTCAATGAAAGTACCGAAAAATGGAAGA